TCGTCAACTAAATTCACTTGAAAGATTAGAAAATCAGGAGTTGCATTTCAGTATTGATTACTATGCCTGTTTCTTGTTGGTGTTACTTGTGTCGGCATGACCAACTTGTACCCTTTAATTGGCACCTCTGTTTGATTAAATTGGAATCATTGGCTTGAATTTAGGCTGAAAAATTGATTGTTAACTGTGGAAAGCTAACAGATTCACCTGAAGGCAGCATTGAGTTTAAGTTAAGTAGTCAGTAGTTAGCTGAAATCAGAGAGGTTTATATACTAATTATTAAGAGTTATGGTAATACAGTAACATGCAAGGTTAAGGGTAGTTTTGGCATAAGACAAAGTCTGATTAGGGGTTTAACTTAAGAATATGTCAAGTGGTAATTAAAATACTATTAACCTAATAACAATGGGGAACAAAACATAAGAGCATGGGTTCAAATGAATACTTTATTGCACCCATAACTTTTGATTAGAGCAATAGGACAGGCATGGGGAGCAGATGCCATTCACTTCAAGAAAGTGCACTTAGGCATGGGGAGTTAAGGGGTATGGGCAGGTTACAACCTGGGGAAGATCCGGGCAGGATGACTGACCTACATTGGCTTATAAATAGAGTTATTTTTAGCTAAGAAAGGGCTGGAAATTTTAGTCTTGAGAGGGGTCTGGTGAGTTTAAAGAAAACTGAAAACATAAGGAAATTTCTAGTAAGTACTGTAACCAAACACTGTCTGAAAGCTACATAAGAGTTCGTATTGGTCAAGCTGTCTTGGCCAAGTTCTGTTGTTTGCCCTGATTGAGCTGCTTGTGATTGTTGAACTGCTGGTGTTGCTGCATTGAATACTCTGTTATTTTTATTCGTTTCACTACTCTTTTCTGGGATCATTTGTTTGGTGCTCGACCATCTGTTGGTTTTCTTTGGTCTGGAAACTGTTGCTAGGTGTCTGTGGACTGTGGAAAACACTTGTGGTTGTTGGTTTGTTGCTGTGTTGTTGCTGTGTATTTGCTGCTGCTGTGTTTGTTGCATACTGCCCAACTGATCATTCCTTTCTTCTTTTGTCCTCTATACCAGGTACACAACCAATACACTATCAAATGTAATTGGAAAGTTGAGCATGAATACAGAAAGAAAAGACTTGAAGTCGATTTTCATACATAGATTGCTACATTAGATATCATGTACTGTATAATAATTTTCATTCCTGTGTTGACAATAGAAGTAGCCTGTATGCCCAGCGTATATCAATGTAGATTAGCTGAATGATAGTTTATATACTTATGTTGATAGGTGAAAATATCCCCAATGTAATAAGTTGTATCTTATACTTAGTTTAACTTTGTAGTATGTCCTTTAATGTAGGCCAAGCATGAAAATCGTACTCTACTAGTTAAGTTCTTTCCTTTCCGATAAACTGTTTCATATAACTGGTAAACCACGTTTTAAGACAAAGAACACATAGCTTGCAATCTCAACCTCACGAAGGTCGAGCCCAGGTCGAAACAGACCAAGCAGGCCCGCATCGAACAAACCATGGCCCAGGTCTGGCCCATCACGCATGGGCTGGATTTGGGCCCGTGATTATTTGCTCGGCTGACTGTGCACGTAGCCGCGCTTCT